AAAATACTTTTAACCAATTATTTTGAGAAAAAAAAAAAAAAAAAGGGGGGAGGGGGGGGGGGGGGGGGAGCAGGTATAACGTGCAAACTCGACACTAGAAAAACATGACTATGTAAGTTGGGTTTTTCTGCTCAAACAATTCTTTGAAATGGGAAATTGGAAGGAAATGATTAAACTGGATAAGTCATCGAATCAGCAGAGTCAAATGCAATTATGAATGTTACGGAACATGAGTCATGTATCTGAGCTGCTAAAATGTCAAAACGACAAATGAAGGAACAGGGACTTGAGAGCATTGTGAGCCAGTCGAAAGATCTGACACCATAAGATGGAAGTTGGGGAAACAATGTGCTTTTTCAGTCAAGTCCTTATATGAAAAGCTTTTGGTGAGAGCAGAGGAGGTTTTCCTGTAAAGCCAATTTGGATTCCTAAAGGTGCCAAGGAAGGTGTGCTTTTTCACACGATAAGCTGCTATAGGGGTGATTTTGACGGCGGAAAACATTAGGAAAAGGAAAGTTGTTTCTATCAGCAGGTGTTACTTATGCAAGGAGGTAGGCGAAGATGTAGATCATCTTCTACTACATTGCAGTCTGGTCACGAGACTTGTGGAATATGTTCAGTTAATTAATATATCTGTGGTGATGCCAAAGTTAGTGAAGGATTTGCTGTTTTGCTGGAAAGCTGGAAGAAGCAGGAGGAAGAACAGGCATGGAATGTTGTTCCTCTGGCTTTGACGTGGATCATTTTGAGAGAGAGAAATAAGTGGGCTTTTGAAGGGGTAGAATTGAGTTTTGGGCAGTTAAGGAGTAGTCTCCGATCCCTTATTTATTTTTGGTGCGCCTATGTAGTTCTGGATTGTTTAAAGGATTGAATGTTTTTGTAGAGAACCATATCTTTTTATAGTTTCTTTAATTTTAGGTATACTTCCTGTATACTGCCGATTTTTGGCCTTTGATTTATGAAATGAAACCGTTTACCTGATCAAAAAAAAAGAGAAAGAAACAAGATTGAGGAAAAGTTGGCACACTTGGTCCTTTTGAAATAAATAGAACTTACCTTACTGATCAGAAAAAAGCAGGGAAAATAAAAAGCAGGGAAAAATAGTATGAACATGGCAAGAAGTTGCCTTTCATTTTATTTTATTTTTTACAAGTAATGATAGACTTTATTGATGTAAAGAAGTTGCATTTAAGTAATGCCTTTCCAATTGGTGAAGCATCAAATTTGAAAAAGAAATAAGGGATCCATAGCCACAAACTAGAATTTTTGGGATAAAACGATGGCGAATAGCAAAGATCAAATGAATCAAAAAAGCAATCCTATAACATCAACTTGCCAATCCAAACTATACACAAAAGGTAAGGCAGGGGTGGAACTATCCCAGGAGGAAAGGTGCCACTTGTTAGACCCTCACAGAAGTAGTATAAGAAGTAAAACTGTTGCATTGCTTTGCATCACCTGATAAATTTTTAGCTAGGTCAGTCACTTGCTGCCTCGATAGATTTAAATCCAGCTCTGCCAAGCCATTCGCCTGAAATAGTTTAATTTCCAATGCACATTCCATGTTGAAATGGGAAAAGCCATATGGTGGTTCACCTACATTTACAAGTTGGCCAATGCTATAACTGAGGAACTGAGAAGAATAAGCATCCATTATCCCAGTGCAGTCTGATCTCCATTCCAACCTGAAGTTTCTTCCCTCTAATGATTTTTCCCCATTTTCCAATGAGATTATAGTAACTCCCCCGCCATCTCAACTTCATCAAATAGGTATCACCAGTGTCATCATCTCGAGCATTAATATTCATCTGATGTTCATTTCTCAGTTGTTCTCTGGCTTGCTGTGACCAGTAAAAAAGAATATGATCTTCAACAGCCTTACCGGGCAAAGTAAGAAATGGATGATTGGTATCCACATCAGACAATGTAAGTGCCTTCTTAATAGGCCAGTTATCCATCGCCGAGGCTGTGGCAACATACCGCTCCTGGGGAACTGAGAAGAACAAGCATTCATTTGCCCAGCGCAATCTGATCTCTTTCCCAACACCAAGTCCCTTCTGCCGAATTATTGCTCCCCATTTCCCAATAAGGTTATAGTAATTCCCCCTCCACTTAAATTTCATTATATAACCTTCGCCAGTATCATAATCTCGGGAATTTACATTCACATGCTCCTCCTTCCTCAGCTGTTCTTGTTGCTGAGGTGTCCAATGCACAAGGATATGATCCTCAACTAATCGACGTGGCAGAGGGAGAAATGGATGATTGGTGTCCACATCAGAGAGTGTCAAGATCTTCTTAATGGGCCAATGGTCCTGCACTACTGGTGCTGCAACCATCCGAATTGGTGGGACTGCAACAATCTGCTGCTGTGGGACCGAGAAGTGCAAGCACCCATTTTCCCAACGTATTTTAATCTCTTGCCCTACATCAAGTCCTTTCCCTCGTACAACTCTGCCCCACTTACCAATCAGATTGTAATAGCTTCCCCGCCATTTCAACTTCATCACATACATCTCACCTGTATCATCATCTCGGGCATTAAAATCTACTTGGCCTTGGGCTCTCAAATGCTCCTGTTGTTCTGTTGTCATATGCAACACAATGTGGTTCTCCACTTGTTGCCGAGACAAAGTGAGGAATGGATGAGTGATATCTACATCAGACAATGTCAGAGCCTTTTTGATAGGCCAATGATCCTGCATTTGGGGTACACAGCTGTATATCGCTGCTCTTTTCATTCCTACAACAACCACAGATAAGAATCAAATTATAATGTTAAAAAATTATCAACAACAGCATAAATTGCAAGGCTAATAACACAAATAAATCTGACGAGCAACATTTCAATCATGTATGCCCTTAACCCAAACTAGTTAGGGAATTTAGAGGATTTACCTTAATTAGACAACTTTTACAGCCTACCGCACCCTCCTTTACTCCCCTCAAAATTTAAGCTAGTACGTGAATAGATTCAAACATACATCACGCTAACGACAAAGTCATTTTGTACAAAAACTCTCACTTGATCATTAATTTAACATAGTAACAAGACAGATAATATATGGACAAACTTAAAATCAATTACTAATTGTTTCAGACCTAGTTAAAAATTAGATAAGTGGAAAAGAAACATTTCTGTTTCAGACAAGAAAAACTCACTGCTTTGAGACCAAAACCCAGTACAGCTACTCCTACTACTACCACTAAGACTTAATTCCAAATTCATTGGGTCTGATATGTAAATCCTCAAATACCCATTCAAATCTAACACCAAACATGCCCCAAAAAAAAAAAAAAACTTGAATGAAAATATATAAAGTCAATGATAAGAATCTTGTTTTGCTCCATTAATCAATTCATAAAGGCATCAGCTTTGATACTTAGCCAAGAAAAACAAAGGTGATTCTAAGTTGTTACCAAAGTGGCACTAAGCTGAAGAAAACAAAACACGTTGGGTAGCTGAGAAAGAGATAGTTATTGGGGATGAGGTTAAGTGTGTGTATATATATATATTAGAGGAAAAAGTGAATCTTGGATCACAAGGGTTTGGAGGGCCAACAAGAAATAGTATGATGAACAACACATTTGATGAGAAGGAAAAGCATGTGAGTAGCGGTTTGAATTGGGAGAAAAATAGAGGTAAGAACGCAAATTGTCATGTCTTGATGATTGTGAATGGTGGGTGATTGATGCTTTGTGTGAAAGAAGAAACAACAAAAGAGGGTCATTGCCCGACCCAATTGGTGTGATTAGGTATTTTACACAAAATACCTCCATTTTACTACTCCTTCAACTTTAGTTGTTGGGTCCTTCAATTTTTTTATTTCTCTCTTTTTATAAACAAATAAATAAGTAAACACAAATCAATTATTTACTAAAATCTTAGCGGTTTAGTTGATTGACAATTCCTTCCCCATTACTTCTTTTCCTATCACAATTTTTGTTTAAAAATAGATATATTGTTTGACCAAATTTTATTTTGAAATCGACATTTCTGTTTATAATTCAAAATTAAATGAGTCCTTAGTTTCTATTATCTTGTGGAAGTATTATTTTTTTTAACTAGTCATGACAATTGACAAGTAAATACATGTGTTATGACATCGTTTTTTCTCAAAATTGTCTTTATGGGTCTCGTAGTATGAGAAAAATAAATAAATGCCCCCCCTCTCTTCAGTCTTTGGAATTTCTTCTTCGTTGTCGTCCTTTTCCATCACCCCTATTTGAGACTTTCCCAGTATTCCCCTCCTACCAACTTATAAAAAATTCAGATACAGAAATTGATCTCATAATTTAGTTTTCCTCAATGATTTTAGAATCAATTTTGATAATATCAAGATTCAATTGTCGTGACCAGCACCCAGGCCAATCCTCCTATGAATGAACATGTCACGACCCAAGGTAGCCCTTAGGTGTACATGGCGTATAGGAACCCGAGAGGCCCCATACAAGCCACTTGTAACTCCCGGAAAACTAATAGGTGAAACTAGAGCTTTACGTGTGAGTTGTTGAGTTTGATGTGGGGTTTTATGTTGTAAAGTGACTTCCCGAGCTTAGGTTGAGGGGTTAAACGTCAAGGTACGACCCCCTAAGGACCAACCAAGGGTCCTTGAGGGGGACCCTAAAGTCTAACCCCAAGGCTGCCCCAACAACCAAAATCTGCCAATTTTGCCTGACCCACGGATGGGACCTACGGGGGGTAGGTCCCTCCACGCCTTGTGGGGAGGCTTCGTGAGTGAAGGGCCTATTTTAGGAGCCCAAGTCCACCATCCACGGACCTGCAGGACGGGGCGTGACCCCACTCACGTTCCGTGAGTCCTGGGTCGTGGATGGCACCTGAGTTTCTGCCTAGGTTCGGTCAAGGGAGGGGCAACTTGGTAAATTCCTAGGGTGGTTAGTTAAGTTAGGGGTCATTTTCTATTGATTTATTAGACTTATTTAAGACCTTTTTAAGTCATTAACCACCCCTTTACAATTCATAATTCCCAAACCCAAATAGTAACCACCTCCTCTCCAAATATTCTCTCTCTAGAAACTCCATTGAAGAAGAAGAACAATGTCAAGGTCTAGGGCTCAAGGAATCTTCTTTTCCAACTCAATTTCGTCAGGAATCTTCAATTGAGGTATGGTAGTTTTGATTCATGGTTATCTTTCCATCCATGAAGTCCTCAAACCTTCAATTTCAAAGTTGGAAATTCTCCAAAACTAAGGGTTTTCATTCTAGGTCATGGATCCTTTCTCAAAATGTTTTCAATGGTTTAATTAACATATATTAAGATTGAATTGCTGTTTTATGGTGGTTTTAAGATAAAATTCCCCATGAATCCATGATTTCCCCATAACCTTAATTTATGACTATGTGATGTGGGTGAATTGTAGTAAGATGAATGTTATGCAATCGATCTTGTAATGCTTTAGTTACTTAAATTATGTCATTATTCATGCCTAAATTGTAGTAATTCTAGGTGTATTGGTGAATTGTGATTCATGGCCTTGAAGGAAAAATTATGAAGATTGATGTATAATCATGATGCTTATGTATATGCTTTGTGATTTCAATGAAAGTAATGTGACCATGACTACAATGCAATTGTGATATTATTGTAAGGTTATTCTCAATTATACACTTGTGAATGATGATGATATATTGTGAAAGGTTTCTTAAATGTAATGTTATACCTTGAATTGGTAGGCTTAGGACATCCTCTTCTTGTGTAATTGAAAGTGATCTTGATTGATGTACCTTGAATTGGTAGGCTTATGGCATTCTCTTCTTGTGTAACTAATTTATCTTGACTTAATGAACATTGAATCGGTAGACCTAATGGTGGTAGCCCTTTCATGATGAGTCTATGAACTAATGTAATGAT